ACATCAGACTGTGGAGTGCGCGGAAATTCAGAGCAGCATGCTGCTACACTGTCACATGTTGCAGTCCTGCGAGTACGAGAGCCACAATAACGGCACTGACAACCCTGCGCAGATGGTCGCCATGACGGTAAAGGCCTTCCCAGCTGGTTCGCATGCGCATGGCAAACGCTGCTAACGCTTGAGGGTGCCACAGAGCTGGGCGCATTGCACACTGTCCGTGGGCATCAGTCAAAACACCGTTGGCAACACAGTGTGGGCAAAGTTGCCAGTGATCCGCGCATCGCTTAACAGGATTTATGACAGCAGGCCAGCTCGACTGTCGGGTCTGGCAGTGTCCGACCTCCATGCCCGAGAGCTTGAGTGACTCAATCCGTTCCTTGCCCGGGCAGCCCACAGAAAACCAGGGTGTTTTGTTGCAAGGAACTCGAAACTCAGCAGCATCAGTTCATGCCATGCATGTTTCTTGACAGCGTATACCAGAGCTCATCGCTCCGCTGTTGCACGGTGATGTTCGGATGCCTTGGAGGTGATGTTCAGCAAGGTCTGGGCCAGCGACGAACCGAGCCTGTCTCATTGAAAAGTCTCAGGGCCTAGTGTCGTATATAGAAGCCTACGATCAAGCCTCAAGCGAAAACTGTTGGGCAAATAGCGCACTCCGGAGATGTAGGAAGGCGTGCAGGCAGTGCTACTGTGTAACATCCAGCTGCATGGTCAAGCAACGGCTGTGAAAGCCGGTGAAAGCGCAGGCTCTTCATCCACTCCGTTAAGCTGCACACGCACAAAGAAGACCCATCCTCAGCGATGAAATCTTCATCGACTGATGTTTGCAGCTGGCCTCTTAATTTGGATTTTCGTGTTCGGGGCCATCAAGGAATTGTTCCACAATGGCGCGAGGAATGTGCATCATCTACACTTCCTGAATGCCGGCACCAATGCAATTCAGATGCTTGAAAGTATAAGGGTTTCAGCAGAGGACGTCACAGGCTCTGCAGAACGAGACCGTCTGTACGACCGAGGGCCGGAGATATAATGAAGGAATATCTCATGCAGATGTACGAAGAGATGCTAGATGATGCGAGAGAGTAAAGAATTGCAGCCGTGTGGTCCATATCCCTCTTGTCTTAACTGGCGATGATGCCCATTGCCCGACAGCATGCAGATCTGTTTAGGCGGCAGATTCCAAGTCTAGAAGGGCCTCTGCATCTCACAGTATACAGCGGTCTTTTCAGAGCGCCTGCGGTCCTCCAACAATCCGCGGCCCGCCAGGCTGAGGTTGCCGCAAGCTGCAATCCACATCCGTTGCGCTGGCCAGGGACACGCCCATGCAAATGGGCCTTAATTTTGTGAAGCTGCAGCTAAACACGAAAGAATGCTGGCAAGCACATTTTGTCTGCAAAACCGTGGTGCATCTTGCCTCTATTTGCACAGGCTGAGTCACATGCAGCAGCGATGCGTAAATTTCCAAACCGAAATGCTGACCACCTTGACAGGCAGGTTTTCCATGCTGATGATGCCACTGCCACCGAAGGAACAAACCCCACCATTCGATCAAAAGTCAATGGACATTCGTCAAGATGTCAGCGTGGCACTGCAACCCTTTTCCGTGAGTAGCCCAGATTACCGAAAAAGGCGCACCAAATCACGATCATCCTCCATCATAGTCGGCCCACTGCTCACTACACTGAGGCTCTGAGACTGGTACGAAATCGACAGCACAGGACCTTTTCAGGCAAGTTTCGTAGTTGCCGTCTTCAATCCTGTAATCTTCCGCCCTCTACCTAAACCTTCTTTCTGGACCAAAAGTTTCGTGACACAAGTTCAACCCTAATCAGCCCAACACGGTGGGCTGTGTGACAGTGTTGGTCGTAAAAAGACTCACGTTCAAACAGTTCAACACACACAAGCGACATGAATCCGCCATTTAGTACCCACCACCGAATCCTCCGCCACAGTCAGGCCGAGGCGGGCGGCGTAGCGTTTGAATTAGTAGTTTAGCCAAGACTGCCATGCATCCTGACCCCTTCAGCCGCGTTTTGCCGTCTCTTCTCTGTCACGGTAATTTGGCTTATGAGCTGCCTGGACGGGAGACATGCTTGTCTTGTACTGTAGGTCCCACACGACAAAAGCGTTCGCAGTCCCACCATGGCTCATGTCGAAACATATTTTTGCCAGGCAGCGGTAAAGAAGGGTATCAAACTCTTGACGACCTCAGCACAGTCCAGAACTTTTGCGGCTTCTACGGGAAGCAGGACAAGATAGTGTAGTAGAACGTGGAGTGCAGGGTAGCATGTTTCACATCCTCCGTTGACGACCTGATCTGATAGGGACTTTTGGGGCTGGCCTACAAAATGCATGGCTGACGCGGTCTGAGGCCATCGGCATATGTCAGCGTTATGCCGGAGCACATCCTTAGAGTGCTGGGGGCCAACTTTGCAAGATGAACCCCTTTTTGCTTCGAGGTTCCAATGGACTTACCCGGCACACAGCTGCTACGCACCTATGTATGTCGCACCACCTAGTTTGCTTCCGAAAGGTGGCCCACACACTGTGCAAGTGTGTACGTGAGTTGACGACGGCACAGGTGCGTTCACATATTCAGTTCCGGCAGAATGCCCACAACTGCTGATTTCATTCCCGCGGCAGAGCTTCGTTCGCAAACTGCAGGCAAGTCTTCAACTCTGGTTTCCTTCTTCAGCTGCAAAGTAGTCGTTGCAATTGCTGCAAGGGAGTTGAGAAGAACAGGCAATACTTGTGGATCCCGTCAGGCCCATGCAACCTCGCTAAGTTCACGGCATACTCATAGAGTTGAGCAGGTTTGCCACCATCAGAAGCACTGATGGCAAAAACAACCTGCAGGCAGTCTCACGAGAAATGACAGCAAAAGCTGGACCGGACACGAAGGCTTCCTTTTGCAAAAGCCTGCTGAACATCTTCTGAAAACAACGCAGAAGCCTTGATGGAGGGCTTTTTGGGTCTCGCTGGTGCCGCTGCACAAGCAGTGCCCAATCCCTATGCATGGCCACATCGTGAATTATGGGCATGTAAAAACGGCAGACTCTGTGGTGACACAATTGAATGTGGGCTCTCTTCGGCATGTTCTTCCATAGCTTCCGCTTTTTTGACCAGAGCCAAGAGCCAGAGAGTCTACCCCGATCACAGCCCCCACGCTGCATGTGCAACGTGCTCAAAGACTCTGCTTCCGGGGTTTCAGGCGCCTGTCGAGTCTCTCGAGCGAGGACCAACCCACAAACGATGCAAGTGCGTGTCCCCATACGCTCAGGCAGCCTGAAACCCCGTGACATTAAAAGGTGGTCGCACACGTTTCAGCTCTTGAAACTTCTGCATACATATGCCGCCTGCACACCGGCCCACGCTCATGATCAACTCTTGGCCATACTCCATTCCACAAACCGACCACAAGCCTTCATGTTCTGAACCGCAGAGAAAAAGTGAAACAGCTTCACCGGCGCTTGAAGAACATGTGATTCCTTGCATGCGACTTGTGGCAGGAAGGGCATGCATGCTGCTCCACTAGCCTTCGTACTGAGTTGAAACGGGCATGTCCACAAAAACGCGTGATTCGTCCTCTGCCCCGCATCGCCCACCTATCCTCCCCATCTCCACGTACTACGACGATGGTGTAGGCTGGTACTAGTTTTACTACTGTACTAGTACTAGTAATACGAGTACTACTACTAGTACGAGTACTAGTACGAGTACTAGTCCTACTACTAGTTCTAGTGCTAATTCTAGTACGAAAACTAGTAACAGCAATAGTAGTAGTAGTAGT